TCGGAACGACACGGATTTTTTATCTGGCTAAAAACTGTCACTTCTCCCAAAATTTCCATGGAGGATATATATAGTTACAACAAAACAATTCTTTAGAGCTTATAAACGAATTGGCACCATATGACAAAAATAATATCAAAAATATATATAAAAATTCTTTTAGACGGAAAGCAAGTTCCAAAGTAAATCCTTTCTCTTTAATCGCTTAGGGTAGTTCTGCTGTAATAATTTTTTAACCAGAAAGTTTGGGTGATTAGATAACCTGAATGAGTAATTTTTAAGCAGTTTCTCTATTTTCTCGGTGACGGTTTTAGTCCCAAGATCGTTGTGAATTGCGGAGTTTTTTATATACCATGGTCTTTGTAAGGTTTTAGACTACAGTCTTTGAATTCTATCTAGATGATCAGCCCCAAATTTGGATCCCGTACGTCCAAGATGGGTTTATAAGCATATTAAAAAGTAAAACTTTGTTTTCTAGACTTAGTTTGAACTTAGAGCCTACAATCCAATGCAAGTTCGCAATTTTCTATTTGGTTTAAGTAACATTTTTGTCCATGTGGTTTTTCCAGGTACGTCTTTTAGCCAATGAAATTCCCAGGTAGGTAACGAATTCTTTTTGAAGTATTGTACTCCCATTTATAGAGATTGAAGGACGTGTGTCCTTTTTAGGGTAAATGTTACTTGTATACACTTAGACTCATTGACTTTAATTCTCCAAATTGTTAGCAACTCTTCTGTTACTTTTAAATGTTCTTGGATTATGTAACTGGCTGTCATGGGATTCGAATGGACACTAAGTATTGCTGTATCATCCGCAAGTTGATGTGATGAGGTTTTGGTTTGTAAGAGCTTTCGTATAAATTAAATATAAGACAGGTCCTAAAACAATTCCTTGTGGAACACCAGCAAATATTTCATAGGATTCAGTGGTATAACTTTTTTGCTTAACACGAAATTTTCTGCCAATAAGAAAGCTTTCTAAGGCATCATAAATTTTTACAGGAAGCGTACCTTTCAGTTTGTATAACAGACCATCTAACCAAACTTTATCAAATGCCTGAGCAACATCAAGGAACACTGTAGTACAATATTTCTTGCTTTCAAACGCTGATCTTATGTGTGCTATCCTATGCACCTGCTCTATTGTGCTGTGTTTTTCTCTAAACCCGAGTTGGTGGCATGGAATGGTCTGTTTCGATTCGGTAATATTTTTTTTAGTAATTAAGCTAATAGGCCTGTAGGAGCCCAACAAATATGGATCTTTACCTGTTTTGGGGATAATAATAACCTTTCAGGATTTTGGAAAAAAGCGTAGTCTCAATATACTATTAAATATACAAAGCATGTGTTTAATTGCCATATTTGGAAGCTCTTTTATCATATCACCCGTTATCCTGTCGTATCCAGGAGCCTCCTTTTCTTTAAAATTAAATTGAATAAAATATTCATCTGGATCTGTACAATATTCTGGAACAGATTTGTATCCAATATTTGGTGTAAATACAGTGGAAAGATGCATGGCAAATGTGATACCCTTTTCCTGGTCGTTTCGAGGCCACTTACCATTGTGAGTTCTCAATGGAGAGTCGCAGGTGACGGGACTTTGAAGCTCTTAACTTTTCGCCAAACAGAGTAGTTAGTATCAGAAGTAGCTGACAGAGATTGTACGGACTTTTGAAATCCCTTTTCCTGTTTTTGTTTCACGACATCCTGAAGCGCTTTTATGCATATATTTAGCTCATTTTTTAAGGCCGGGGAACGAAACATCTGCCAATCTCTCCTTTTAGACAAGGCGAGTGATCAGATGATAAGTCGAAAAAGGGGTTTACTCTTACTTGTGCTCTACTGATACCACAAGTTACTACAAAGTCAATCAAATCTGGGGTTTTGCTAAGATCAGTTGGCCAGTATGTTGGCTGACCAGTAGATATAACATAGAAATCGTTATTTTGGATGGCTTTATATAAGTTTCTACCCTTTGGGGATATCAGCCTAGATCTCCAGTAGGAATGTTTTACGTTGTAATCACCTGCTACTAGAAACCGTTTACCTAATTTAGAACAGAAATCATTAAATTAAGTTTCTGATATGTTGTATCGGGGCGTACAATATATGGCGGGAATGTTTATTCAACCAGAATTATCATAAACATGAACTGAGGTAGCGTGAAGGTAATCTTTACAGTACTCTTCAATTACATGTTTAATTTTTTGCCTGATAAGTATTCCAGTTCCACTGCGCGCTTTTCCTTCAAGATGTTTGGTGTCATAAAACAAAAATGTATCAGTATTGAAGTTATTAAATTTGGTCAAATGAGTTTCGGAGATTAGCACTATATCTATTGCTTGGTTTTCTAAGAAGATTTGAAGTTAACTTTTGGGTTGGACCAAGCCATTGGTGCTCCAATAACATATCCTAAGGTCGTTCATGGCTTAGGCAAAGTCGCTTGAAATCTTGCAATATACTTTGCATTGATGTCAAATGTTCTTGTTTAGCGTATTTTAAAGAGAGATTGCAGGCGGAATGAACGGGATGGACGTTTCTTGCGTTAGGAGCTGAAGTACACCATTAAAAGCTTGGGAGTAGGAAGCAAACTTGGTATTAGTAGGCTTTGTTTCGGCAGCTTTTGCTTGAGGGTGAGAGGCAGGAATGTTGCTAGAAGCCTTTTTACTGCCCTTCCCTTTTAGGGAAATATATATTGGACAAGCCCTATAATTGGCGATGTGATTTTCACCGCAATTGCTACATTTGTCAGTCCCACTTTTGCAAAATTTTTAGTTCCAAAAAAAACCAGGGGATTTTGATACACAGCTTTTGACAACTCTAATTTGAAAACAGCACAAGCAAATGCAATTTTTACATACTTTTAGGCGCCTTTAACTAGCAATGCAATTCTCTAACCTTTATCAACACGATTTGTCGGATCGCAAAGTTTCGAATTTTGTCGCTCGCACTAACGATTATGAGATTCTCTAACTCAGTTTTTACGATATCGACAACGCACACTTCCATTTTATTAAAATGAAGAAAAGGTGGCACCACAGCTTAACAAAACGTAAAAATATGCGAAAACCACAAAGAAGGATACAAAAACAAATTAATTTGTTAAATTTGTTGTTTGAATTAATATCATTCTTGGGTACTTGACATTTGCCGATTTAATCTTTCGATAAGGATCACATATCTGTGTACAAATATAATGAACTTTGTTACTTCAATAGTAATTGAAATAAATTTACACCCACCATTTGCTTGTTGGTAGATTGTTATTCATGAAGGTTGACATAGGCTTCTTCGCAATCGATAGCCCTAATAGTTCCTCCAGAAAATGGCGACGTCATGGGAAATCTAACCTTTGCAGGAAACATTGAACCGTTGACTGCTTCGATCACGTGATGAATAAAACAGCTTACTGACGACTGACTTATGGGTATACACTATTGCTCTCCGACGGGACGTTGGTAGCATCCAGTTGCATAGAATCGCAAGGCGGGTAGAACCTTTAAACATTCTAATAGTGTAAGAACTGATAAAATATTTAAAAGCTATATCACTGCCTGTTTCTCCGTCGATTTTGCGGTTATTTTCTGCCATTTAATTGGCTATTGATAAACACAGTTGCATTCAAGTGAAGACGATCTTCAACTCTCGGAAAAAGACTTCAACCCCATGATGAAGTGTACAATACCTCCTCATCTTGGGATAAAATGTACGCAGAATACTCAAAAGCTATTTTTGTTTTAATTTTTTATAAAACTTAGGCAATTTCCCGATTCACTTTACTTTAGTTCAACCTTAATGAAATAACAAAATTTTTGGCGATTTGTCGAAAAGTTTACGACAACAGCGGAAGCGAGTATCCTTAAAATAAGTACACCGAATATTAAAATCGTACAGTTATCGTTAAGTCTTCTTTGCCATCCGAATATCGTTAAACTATTCTTAGAGAATAGCAAATATCGTAAAAAATATCGCCAGGTCTTCTTTGCGATCGGAAAATCGTTACACCATGCTTAAAGAATAGCGAAATCGTTAAAAATTTCGTTAAGTCATTTTAATGATGAAAATCATTATAATGCGATTAAGAATTCCTCTACAGAGCTTTTTATATTTGTTCAATAATTATTATATATTTGTCTCTGTTCAACTAGTGTTAAATATTTGTTTATAGTCTTTCAGTTTTTTTGTTTATTCTCTACTATTCAGTTTTGATGGAGCTCAATCCATGCAAATAACACTGTTTGTTAGTTAAAATGATCACTTTCAGTTCACATTGTTCAATTCCAGGGGAGGTACTTGCCTGAATTAATTTATGTAGTTTGCACAATATTGTTGCGAAAATGCGAGGCGAATGTCAGATGAAAGAGAGAAGCCGATAACTAGTACGTTCTAGAAACGATAAAACAAGAACCTTCCATAGCGAACAATTCGATGCTTCTACGCTTTCGTCTGCGAGCAGCCGACTGCTATATAAAGGCGACACTCAGCTGCAAGTCAAGTTAGTGATAAAGTAAACTCGTTGGCGTTAACATCAGTAAAGTCGTAAAGTAAACGTGTTGGGATTACATTTAAGTAGAGTAAATTGTGAAAGTTGATGATAGTGATTGTAAATAATTAAGTGTATGGTAATTGAATTGTGAATTACGGAGTAAATAAAGGACATTAGATTAATTCTTTATAACGAAAGATACTGCAAATTGAATTGGCGAGTTTTTATTTAGCAATCCAGAGATCGTACCCGAAGGATCTAGAAAATAATCGAGGTTGATTTAGTAAAATCGTAACAATATATTATGTTTAAAAACTGATGATAAATATAGAGCACAGACAGTTTCACTTCGCGCTCGCAAGAGTTGCCAAACGTATAATACGGTGGAAGGATTATGTGAGAGTTCATGTTGTATCTAGTTATGTATTAGATTCGTGCATATGATTACAATCGTGTGGGCTTGGCATAAGTAAAGCTAATATATTACATAGAAATGAAAACGCATTACAGGTAGAGCATGCCCTATAATATTGGGTTTTACTTGACGGTGCTTCCTTTTCCGCTGAGTTCTTTTAGTCGAACTTGACGTGGTTGATTTTGTTTCTAACCATCAAAATGGGTCGGCGGCCAGCAAGATGGTAATTTGGTCTTATAATAACTTTTGATAAATTTTAATGCGCATTGTTTACAGTTACCGCTATTGTAAGAACAAGCCTTATCCCAAATCGAGATTTTGTCGTGGTGTACCAGATCCCAAGATTCGTATATTCGATTTGGGCAGAAAGAAGGCATCGGTTGAAGATTTTCCTTTGTGTGTTCACTTGGTTTCCGATGAATATGAACAGTTAAGTAGTGAAGCTTTGGAAGCTGGCCGTATTTGCTGCAATAAGTATTTAGTAAAATACTGTGGTAAGGATCAGTTCCACATCCGCATGCGCCTTCATCCATTCCACGTGATTCGTATCAACAAAATGTTATCGTGTGCTGGAGCTGATAGGTAAGATTATTTCGATACATTATTATTCCTTCAACTTAATGCATTTTATGTAGAGCCATGTTTCTAGTTCGAGCTAAATGCTTTTAAATGTTGAACGAATCGCGTCAATATTCAAGATTTTTAAAAAGACTAGCGTAAAATTTAAATGTCTGCAGTCTTAATACAGGATTTTTCTTAGTGATAAAGAAGGTAGAGAAAATCGTACTTCACCATTGCTGTTTGGGTAAACGCATCTTAGGAAACTACCATACATTGTCATGCATTCCTGAATGCAACTGTGCAAATTTTGAAGTTGTATCATGTTCCAAAAGCTTTATTTTATCATAAATTCTTAGCAACAATGGCCGACGTCGTAGAGCTCGTTTTTTTTTTGGCTAATTATTTGATTTTTAACGTTGTATTTTAATTGTAGAACTTATATTTATAATCTGTTTTATATGTTGGCCATTTCACCGAAAAAGAACTTATTTGCACGAAAAGCGTTGCGAAGTATTGTTGCAAGGGACATTTACAGAAGTCAGGGTTTAGACCTCAAGCGATTTTAGGTTGAGCTGCTCAGCCATTTGTGGTATGCGTCCTGATGAACAGTTTATACCGAGCTGCCGTTGAACCGCTGATGGTTTTTTTTTTTTATGAGGAGCCTTTATTTCATGTCAGAAATATACTCGGAGAGTTTGATATTCTTTGCCGAGGCTCGACCGCAATTGGAAAATTTAAGATAATTTTTTATTTAAATTAATTTTCTATAACTTTTGAATGTTGGTCTTGATACATTTTTAAAATGCATATTTTCGAATTGCCCCCGGCTTTCTAATGAATGGTACATGGTGAAATATTTCTGTTCTAAATGAACGTATGAATGAACACCAAATTTAACTACATCTGCATGAATATTTCCATCGGAAGACTCGTCGCTTTGGTAAGCATATTTTGAATTAAAACTTCATTACAAAAATTTTGCGATTTAGTATTTCATTCAGAAATAATGAATAGATACTTAACACCAATAGTCATAAAGATTACTGTTTTTTGTACCAAGATATATATATTTCCAAAATCTGACTTTTTTAATTCAGTTTATGTTGAAGTAAAGTTCTTCATTGGGAGGTTTAGAACAAGTCAATTCTTATAGGTTTTCCGTAACTTGCTTTTTCTTTCCTATAAGGATATTTCCGTCATCTAGCGTTTATCTGCGCTTAATGTATTTGGAGATTTTATTTTTCTTTAAGGGGAAGGCTTGCTCTTTTGCTGTTAAATTAACATCGGAGAAATGTAAATTCTAAAGCTACGAATAGAAACATAACTAATCATTTCTTCTTTTGGAGATTTTATGATGAAAAATATTTTGAGCACTGGGATATGAACCTAATGATTATCTTATTTTTCTGATAATTATTTGTTATTTATTTTCAAAATTAAAAAATGAGACATATTTAAAAAATGTGTTTCCTTATAGGCTTCAAACTGGAATGCGTGGTGCCTTTGGTAAGCCACAGGGAACCGTCGCCAGGGTACATATTGGCCAACCGATAATGTCTGTTCGCTCAAGTGACCGTTACAAGGCTCAAGTAATTGAAGCTCTTCGTCGTGCTAAGTTCAAGTTTCCTGGACGTCAAAAGGTATGTTATGATTAAAAAATATTAAACTACAGAATAATACTTATCTCAGCAACTTGTGTCGACTGTAGAAGAAAGTCTTAATTAAGTACCACATATCATTCTACTATTCTCATTAACTATGGAGATAAATAGGTCCATGTAGAGTCATACAAGCTTAAGGGGTATGGCCACAGTGGCGGGTAAAAAACCATGTGCAAATGTAATATTTTTTTTTGTATGGAACTATTATTTATTCATGAAAATAATCACATACCGATGAAGTTCGGATATAAAGCTTATGAGAAACTATATTTTTAGATTTTTTTTCCGGCACAAAATGGCCGATATTTCTGATCTGTTTTACATCCATTTTTCTAAAGCGCTCCACGGCGTGACATTTTGCATCTACAATTCCTGGAACAAAACAAAAAAATGTCGTTAATATGCATGACAATAGCTATAGAAGTTCGTAGGGGATTTCAAAAATATTGATTTTTATGGAAATTATAGGGATTTGAACAGAAAACGCCCATTTTTAGTCAATAATTCTGCAATAAACTACTCATAACAAAAAAAGTACTTGATTAATCGAAAATCCCATACGTACTTCCTTGCGGAATGCAATAATAAACATGATGTCACAATTTGAAGTCAATCGGATCAAAATTGTACAAGTTATTTGTCACGCCAATTCAAAAAAAAAAGTGTTTCGAGAAAAACGCGTTTAAAGTTTCACATATAAGTTAGCCGAGCCGGAGGTGGGCTTTCGATATACACCTTCAATCAGTCAAAAATGATTATTTCATTCTGAGTTAAATAGCATATCATTTTTATGACTATAAAGCATCGTTTAAGCAAAAAAAAACGATTTTTAAAAAATTCTACTTTGGTCATACCCTTTAAAAATATTCCGGTAAACTTTGCCAGGATATGTTTGCCCTAGAAAAAGGTTGCATCTTAGCAGGTCATATATATATTAGGAGCTTTGTAACCGCTAAAGCCATTATCGGCCCCGATTCTCGTCCTTCTTAAAGTAGGTTTTTCCAGGGTTGACATTCCTTGTCTAGCCACAAATTGAACTTAATTTTTCATTTATTTTAATTTTCTATAAGCCGAACCGAAATTCGATTGAATTCACGAGTAGGACGAAAATAGTTCTAGAAATTTGTTATTAAAGATTCGGTGCCGAAAAAAAAAGCGAAAAAATTGTTAATACTTTTTTTGATTTCTTTAAAATATGTTTATGTTTAAGAACGAAGGATTGGGGTTGTTCAGGGGAAGTAGACTTTTAGTTATTTAATATCTTGTTGTTGGGTGATTGAGTTTTTAAAATAAAAATTTATAGAACAGGTGCCTTTAGTTTTTTTTACTGGACGTGATGGCAGAAAATTTATAGAAATTTGGTCAAAGAATAACTATTGCTTGTTTCCACATGCGTAAAGAGAAAACATAGCTTGGTTCTATTTTATTTTATACTTAACACTAACGTGAATTTAGAAACGTTAACAACACGCTATAAGAATCTATTTAACGATTTCTTTATCTGAAAGTAACATTAAAAAGGGATGATTTTTTTTTTCTTTATTTTGGGTCTGGACAGTAAAGCTGCGAACCTGTTGTTCACTGCATTGTAATCCCTGGTGGGCCTGATAATCAAATGCGACGGAAGTATATTGACTTATGTTAGAGGGGAGGAGAAATCTATAAAGAAATATACAGTAGCATTAATCGAAATTTATTTTCATAAAATATACTGTATCTAGTCAAGAGAGTCGTACATAAACATCCTGGATATATTCCGATACATAAATATAGCGAATTCGACAATAATTAAGGAATCATTTGGTTGGATTTGCAAATGTATCCCACTTTCATAGCATATTGTATGTAAACGAGTGGACCGGTTTAATTAAGTTAGGATAGGGTTGATAGACAATGAGTTAAACTTTTGTTCACTATTTGTTTAATTTGCGTTCGTCCGTTCTAGGATTTTGCCATGTGAATTGCATTTAATTTTTATGAGTGCCATGGAAAGGTGCTTGTAAAAAGTATCCACTCTTTACAATAACTTATTGAGCTTTACTGTTGTTCTAATTAAAGCGGTTTTCGCGAATCGTTGAGGTCGTTCCGGTCGCTACATTATATATTTATTAGCTTTCGTCGTTTTTTTTTTTCATTTTCCTCTCATATTGGGAATTCCCTCTAGTTTGTAGCTTGCCATTAATGCTGCAAAATGTCATATCAGGGTTTGCGCAAATTCTCTTTAAAAAGATGATCTTTTATTCCCGCTCCCATTCACTCAACTACTTTGCAGGTCCGCTCTGTGTCATATTCTTCAGAACTCAAGATTTTGCTCGAAGTTTTTACGGCATATGAGCAATTAGCACTAGCACACTATTTCATTAAGCATTACTCGAATAATTTCGAACACGAGCTCGTGAACTTTTTTGAATAAAATTTTTTACTCTTCGAAAATTTTCTATAACTCATTGGTTTACAGAGAAATTTTAACTAGAGAAGTTGAATATTAATATTATCAATGAAATATTTTACCACTTAAACTTGTACTTATTTTGATAAATTTGCAAGGCAAAAATTTTTTTTACAAAAAATTAAAAGCTTTCAATGGAATCAAAAAACTAAAGAAACATTTTTATTTTCTGAAATCTAATGGTAATAAAATTACTTTCAGCGACTTAGCATTAAAATATAAATATATATATAGCATGATACAAAAAAAGAAGGTATTAGGCAGCGTTGTCCTGGTGGAATATGACACCTTTACGATTGACCAACATCCGTATTAATCGTTTGGTTCCTTGGAAGCAGCTCAAAATATACGACACCCTTCCAATCCCACCAAACAGACAGCATAACCTTCTTTTGGTGGATATCAGCCTTTGAAGTGGTTTGAGCTGGTTCACCATGCTTGGACCATGATCGTTTTCGACCAACCAACAATCCATTTTTCATCTCCAGTTATGATTCGTTTTAAAAACGGATCGAATTCATTGCGTTAAAGGTGCATATCACAAGCGTTGATTTGGTGTATTAAATGAATTTCTTTCAATACATGTGGTATCCAAATATCAAGCTTTTTCACCAGTCCAAGACTTTTTATGTGATTTTGGTATATTTAACTTCTCCCCTATCTCACGCTCAGTTTCATGACGATCCCATTCGGTTTGATTTGGTCATCATCAACTTCATTTGGCCGACCTGAACGTGGCTCATCTTTAAGTGAAAAATCTCAAGAACGGAATTTGCGAAACCAATTTTGACACTGTCTTCCTTTTAAGGCTTCATCACCATACATATCTCGTAACCTTTTAGCAACCTGCTCCGCGTTTTTTCCTTTACGGAAATAATTAAGTAAAATATGACGAAAATGCTCCTTTGTGGGCTCCATATTAAAATTGACGCCAAACAAACAAATGTAAACAAAATTTCGCGCCCTTTTTTCTAAAGCAAAGTAACAGCTGATAACTGACAGAAGAAATTGCAACTATAACTTCTATAACTTTGCCTTGCAACAACATTTCGCGAAATCATACATATATCAAAGATCTTCACACACAATGTTAAATGTAAATAAATATGCTAACACAAATTATGTCACAATAATAATAATATTGAATTCTTTTCCTTTTTAGATTTACGTCTCCAAAAGATGGGGATTCACTAAATATGACCGAGATCGTTATGAACAACTTCGTGACGAAAACCGATTGGAACCTGATGGTTGCAACGTTAAATATCGGCCGGAACATGGACCTATAGCAGCGTGGGAAAAGGCTCAACGCGATCTTTATGCTTAAATTATCTAAAAGCTAATTGTTCAATAAAATTTTTTATTGAGAACTAATAATAGTTTGTTTAAATTTTGTCATCATAACGTAATTCATAAAGAGAGATACCATTTTACGCGGTATTGTTAAGAGTCACACAACAGCTTCAATACACCTAATTAAAAGCTGCCAATTTATCATATTTAGATTAGAGACAAATTGATAGTTAGTTTAATGCCTTTTTTTGTAAAACAATATAAGCGCTCGACCACTCCAAAACTTGTATCGGTTCGCTAAACTCACTTAGCAGCAGTCTAGATTAGTCGATTTCATCGGGATGCCTTTCCTTTATGGTTTCAGGCTTCATGAAAAATTAAAAAATGTTCAAATGTTCAAAGTTGAAATAGAGAAAAAGGATTTTTACAATTTTATTTGAACATAGAGAAATTAATTTGAATTTTTGTGTTGTCATATATAAAAACGAATTTCTAAAATAAAACAACTAGAATACAATTTTAACACCGGCTTCGCCTTACACAGTATTTTTGAGCGAAACTTTGTTAATTGGCGGCCCTTGGCCGCGCTTTTGATTATAACCCTTAGCCGGACCCACATCGACTTCGCCTTCCACAGCATTTCTATATACACGTATGTACAGCTATGGTCACGCAAATAGCACAACTTTCCTTCCGATACATAATAATGAAACAAAGGGGTATTTGTGCTTAAAATATGAAAATATTGTAACGATGTGTTCACTCAGTTATTATTTAACACAACCTTTATAAAAAAACTTAATAATAATTCAATGAAAGTTTAAAATAATTGAAAGTTTGAGGTTCCTAATGAAATTATGTGGTCACGCAAATAGCACATTTTGCAAAACTTGTAATTTTAAGTTCAAATATGCCAGATCATATACCATTATTAGTCTTAAGTAGGTCTTATCTATTAGTATTT